GATCCTGACTACCGGATGCTAACACATGGCAGTGGGAGTTGGGACCATGAAGGTGGAGGTGGACATGGTGGAGGGAATGTTTATGGATCTAGTGGTGCTTACGGGGGAGATGACGGTGGGCGAGGGTGCGGAGGCCACGATGGGGCGCGTGCACATGGCAACGTTGGTTGCAGCCGCGGTATGGTTCAGGGACCTCACTAATCTGGCCGCTAAGTCATTTAAAAACTTTTGGAGAGTAGTTCAAAGAGCAAGAATAGACCATCGAAAGATATTGCCTCTACTATTGCGTAAACAAATGTCGAATGAATATGTGGTCGCTTTTGTAGCTAAAGTACCACATGGCGAGGGACACATGGCTTTTCTCGAGGCAAAAGTGCGGAACGTGATCATTATGAAATAAATCGATTCAGCCTCGATGACGGACAAATGTCTCGGTCTCGAGAAGCATCGATAAATGTATAAGCCGTGTCGAGAGACAAGACAAAGATTACGGATGCGGACACCTGAAAAACGTACAAGCCGTGGCATGTTTTCTGAGAAGAAAAAGACAAAGAGTACTTCTGTTTGTGTGAATGCGTGTGTTGTTGATAAGTCATTTTGTTTCTTGACATAATATGGCGAAACGATTCCTTCCCAGTTTCAAGGCCATGTGTAGTTTTAATTTGGCCACATATGCATGGCTAAAGAATTCATTCAATGCTGCCCCTTTTCATAAATGTATCATCGTCGGTTGCAAGGTCTGAACACTCCTCGGTGAGCAGCTGTCATAAGCTGATCTAGCATAAAAATGCGATCGCTCTCTCTGGCTAGGCTGAAAATGCCGGCATTGGAGCCGAGCCCGCCTTCGACCAAATTCACCATGGAGGGAATCTCTTGCGTGGCTGCGTCGAGGGCGTCCTGGAGGAGAGTGCGGCGAGAAGCGTCTGTCTCGCGGCGCAAGGCAGCGAAGAGCAAGGAAATGACATCCCGCATCCTCTGAGACTGGGAAGGAGAGGGAGTTGCAACGGCTTCTGCGGGCAGGCGTGCACCTCTGGAGAGCACATGCTGTTCCTGTGTTCGCTCTTCACGCTTGTGAGTAGTGTATTCCGGAGTAAAATCAGGGTGGATGTTATTGTGCTTAGGGGCGCTCATAGACGTTAAGCCGCTGAGAGAGCTGACGGCGAGTGCAAGGCTTTTTAGGCCTGAGTAGGCGTGTTCAATAGATGGTGAGGGCGTTCCGGCTGACGAGCATAAGGAAGAGGAGGTCATATAGGCAAGCGCGTCTGAGCCTCGAGGCATAGGATTCGAAGGGATGGACAAAAAAGACTCGTCTCTCTTGAAAGGGGGGCTCTCGCGCCTTTGAGTCGGGCCCTTCTGGCTTGCTTCGTAATTCACTGGCGAGATAGAGGACATAAAGGGCTCCTCGTGGGATCGGTGGTGCTTACTCGAGGCATTGTCACTTGGCTCTTTACCCTGGGCGGGCACATGACAGGTCTGCGGGGATGGTTCCATTCGAAGCTGATGGAGCAAGGGCACAGCCGACGACACGTCCAGAGGCGAGCCTCTCCCTAACGCGCCTGCAGCGCCCTGATCGTCCTTTCGGGTACGCTTCCGAAAGGCCTGTGGGGCATTCTCTAAGAAAAGCTTCTCGGGACATGCTGCGGGCGCGGCGGCAGGAAGCATGGCTGTCCCAGGTACACACGACCACAGCTTGGGCACCGCCGCGGCGGGCGCTGGGGTCGGCGTCTGAGTAGGATTGAACTTGGGGCCCAGGGTCGTGGCCGCTGACTTTTTTTTGGCGCGACGGAGGACTGACCGATAAAGTGCGTGTGTGGGTCCGTATTTCTCCGCTTCTCTTTCCAGCATCACGCGGAGCCGGGCGTGCAAGGGCTTGATGTGGGCGCTTCCCAGTCCCCCGTAGAGACCAGGGTTCGCGCCCTCCAACGCGCCCATGACAGAGGGAATGAAGTCGGCTAGCTTGGAAGACATTTTCCTGATGCTTGAGTCAGAGGCAGGAGGCCAGGCCCCAGCAGCCCTCGCCATTCCTTCCTGCGGCTCGCTTGCACCGACAGCTTCAGCCATCCTCAGGCAGTACTCTCGCACTGTCTGCCGCTCAAGATCTTCGTCCCAATCCGGCGGGGGGGATCTATCGACGGAGCCTCGCAATCGGACCATAGCAGCAGAGTTCCATCGGTTCTTGACCGAATTTTCGGAGCGGCCGGGCAGCAGGTCGGCTATCTTGGCCCATGCGTTCCCGTGCCGCGCCTGCCCCGCCAAGAGGGCTTTGTCCTCCTCAAGGCTCCAGGCGCTCTTGCTCACGCTTGGATCCAGATGGTTCAGCCACCGTTCTCGACATTGCTTCCCCAGCCTTCCTGGAATACGCTCGGCGATTTCGGACCATTTGGTGAGTCCGCTCCGCATGCACTGAAGGATGACCGCGTCTTCCTCCTCTAGCCACGGCCCCTTTACCAGACCCGGGCGTAGGACCTTGTACCACCGATTTAAACATTGGGTATCGGTGTATAGGCCTTGAAAGTGCTCTTGTGATATTTTCTTCCAGTTTTTGGGGCCCCTCGAAGCCACCACTTTGCGCAACTTGGAATCCTGCTCGTCTGTCCAGGAAGGGCCCGGGTCTGCCTCATCCTCGTCAACGGACATATGTCGGGGATCTGCCCCCTCTTTCACCTCATTTCGCACAGATTTTCGTTTGCGACCATTAGACTCCACAGGTAAAAACGTGCTAAGATGAGGCTCCGACGACGCCATGCTCTTGAGGCCGGAGGGGACGCTTGCAATGGCGGCGGCTGCGGGAGGGGGCGATGACACAATCGAGGGAGCCACTGCACCTGCGGGCCTTGCTTTAGAATGTTGCATCATATCTATGTGTATCAACAAGAAATATGAGTGAGATATTGGCAGCCGGTGCTCAAAGTGGTCGGCTAGGAAAGGGGACAACAGTGAAACAGAATTAGTGGCGTCAGCAGAATACGTCGGTGGAGCAAGCGCATTTACCCATGTAAGTATGTGTACATCGACAGCAATCTGTTCAAAATTATGTCGCATATGTTTGTCCTTGCTAGACAGAGAGCCCCACAGGCTTTGTGTGTGAAAAAAACCTAACATAACGGTAGAGCTGGCATCAACCGTACTTACTCGAGGCGTAGAGGAGGCGAAGTCGATTGCCCCTAGAAGACGGCACAGGGAATTCAGGCCAGTCAAAGAAGAGGCAATGCTGTGTTAGCGTTGTGTACGTGATAACGAGATGAGAAAGGACAGAATCAGGTGGCATATGCTGAGGGCGTCGCGAATGGGGGCCCATGCACTTGTCCGTTAGCTTCCTCTGGGAATTTTGAATCCTAGCACTAACCCATCTCAACTGGGTCTTACGCGGTAAGAGTAAACTTATCCTGGCTATGATGAGATCTTACATGCGAGACTTAAACAAAGGCACCTTTTCTACCGGCAGAGTACAGCGCAAATAAATGAACAAATGACAAATGCACCTGCTTCCGTTGGGCATGGGCCACGGCGGTCACGAAGCAGAGGAGAGGGCGTAACGGCTTCTCTCTAATTAATTTCTGTCCGTGCCGGGAATGCGTCTCATTTGTCTTAATGATGTGCTTTTCGTCCCGTCATTGTCGTTTCCCTCACACAGGCTGACTTAGTCATACATCGAAAGATAGCGCTCTCAAGATCCAATGGGTAAGGACGTACGATCCCGTCCACAGTATAAACCTATTTCCGCAGACTAACCAGTGCATTCTTATTGTCTATCAGGCTGTGGATCATCTTGTTGTATTCCTCCGTATGTTTCAAAGGCAATCGAAGTACATGCGGCAGCAGAGCCCAAAAAGGCATCCGACGCCCCGACGGACTCTCAGTCGACCTTCAAGGCAGGTCCCCGTAGACCCGTCATGAGCGAGGCAATGGCTCAGAAGTGGTTGCTCTCTAATGGAAAGCCTATCGCTGGAGCTAAAGTCCGGATAATATGCTTGGGATGGGCGGGTGCCAACTCCAACGTCTTTAAGACATGGGATTTAAAGTGTGGTGAAGTTGTGAAAGTGGAATTACCCAGCAGGAATGCTCGATTCAATGATAAACCCATTCATGACGTCAATATCCTGGCTAAAAAGATCTCCCAGGCGTGTTTCGTTATGGGGTATTTGGAATCCACAACCCCTCTTGTCATATTCGGTCATTCCTTCGGAGCGATGATCGGGCTGCACCTTGCACGGATCATGAAAAAAGAATACGACTACACCCCCAAAATGTGCATATTTGGTGGGTGTCGGCCACTGCATCGGTAAGTAGAAACATCGATAGGGTTGGAGGCCTCTTCAATGCTGGACGTGATGTCAATTGTGCCGACACATTTCTCGATTCCCGGCTCAGGTGGGGGTTCCCCATGTCTTACTACAAGGAGGACGACGACGAGATGATTCAGAGCATGGTCGACTGCGGTGGGATGACGAAGGAGATGGCCAAGGACAAGGTAGGCAGAATGTGGCTAAGACAGATATCGCTACGTCCGAAATCACCCGGCCACATGCTCACCGAATAAACTCCCCTTCCTCTCAGCTCCTGGTCTCATCCGTGCTCGCCGGCATCAAGATGGACCACCTCTGTATGGACCGCTATGTATTCAACGAGAAAGCCGAAAAGTTGGAGGCTCCTCTATGGCTCATCGGTGGATTGGATGATCCCCGTTCTCCGCCTGAGCAGCTCCCGGAGTGGGATCGTTACACCACGTGCAGCATTCAGATCAAAACCTTTCCTGGGGGGCACTTTTTCCTCAAAGAGAAGGAAGCAGACGTCCTTGCTTGGCTAGGGAAGGTGATTGAGGAGTGACCGCACGACTGAAGGGATAAATGCATATTCTCGGTGACCTGAGATCTTGTTTGTGTAAGATTCACTGCAAAATTGGACTGTTTTGAAACAAAGTGTTGGAAAGGAAAATCCCGTAGATACACTCAGCAAGAGGCGGATGTGGGGCGTCCCATTCTTAAACAAACTGCACATAAAAAGGGCGGCTATTTGTAGACTTTTTACATTGCTTTTTCCCAAGTCGCCCTCTGTACAGAAAGGAAGGTGTCCGTCTCCAGACCGGGCCTGGCGAAAGGCGTGTATTTGTCCACCACCGTCCAATTCACTGCATCCAACACCATTTTCGCACGTGCTTGGACCGTTTTGGGCTCCTCCTTACCGGTAACCGCCTGCAGACTCGACAGCGCCCATGCCATGAGCGGGTGAGATTCTCCCACTTCCTGGAGACGCTTCCAGAGAGTTCTGCGATCCTCCATTTCTCCAGAGACCGGCGCAAGGACTGTGATGAGTAGCTGTCCGAGCGCAGCCACGAAGAGCGTAGCGAAGACGTCGGGATGGTAAGTCAGGCCTCCAGGCCAGGCGGAGGACTCAAAGGCCTCAGTGACCAGCCCCGCGTGCTCCCAGAGCGCGTCCAGCTCAGCCAATTCCGCATTCTCAAACCAGCCTGTAGGCAACGAAGTGGAGCAGCCCCCTTTCCCACCCCCCTGCCCCTCCGGTCCTACGCCCACCTCGTAGAACGAGCTCGGCTCCTCTATTTCTGCCAATGACACTATGAGCGAGCGAACAGCCCAGTAACTGACCAGGGCTGGCTCCTCGAAGACGTTGTCGGGCTCCGGCCGAAATATTTGTTGAGAGAGGCCCAAATGAGGGGATGTCACCGAGATTCTGAGCACCGCTTCCAGCCCTCGGATCCGCAGGATCACCACGCGGACGACGGCCCGGCCCCACTCCTCGGCGACGCCTTGGCTGCACCGAGCCAACTGGGAGAGCTTGTAGCCGATGAGAGGGTCCAGGCAGGGGGTCGCTGAACTCGTAGGACCAATTGGGGCAGCCGACCTCGCCAGTCGCTTCCCCGCAACAGCTGCCTCCAAGACGCTCCGCGCCCCCTCGCGGATCGCATCCTCGTCGTCCTGGGCCAGCACAGAGACCGCGAAGAGCGCTCGGACAAGGAAAGGGCCGAAGTGGGGGGCGTCCGAGCTCTCTGGAAGGATGCCCAGACCCGAGGCCCGAAGAGAGCTCAGAGCCGCCTGGCGCATGGCTGAGGTCTGTGTAGGCAAAGCAGCGCTTTCAATGAGACACATCCATTCCTCAACATTCTTAAGGCCTCGATCATACGAAATCTTCACCGTGTTGCGATCCAGCTCATACTGCTGCGCTCTCCTGACCTCTTCACCAACCACATGGCCCATCAACTCCAGTTTCCGCGCAAGAATGCCACCTCCCCCCCCTGAGGCCAAACAGACGGACGAAAAAGCCTGGGGCTCGTGCCGAGAGATACAGCACAAAAGCTCCCCAGACGTTTCAAGATCGCGCGTTGCCGCATTCTGAGCCAAAACACGGACATCTCCTTCTGAAACATGCGCGCACGACTCCGCTAGCGGAAGGGAGGAAGAGCGCGTGCGCCTCTTCTCTCCAAAGAGGGAACAGAGGGCCTCCATCTGGCCTTTGAGCAGGCTCGGGTTTCGCTCGCGTTCTTGCACCTGCGCCACCAAGGCCACTTTAACTTCCTGCCAGAGAGCGTCACACGGCTCTCTGCAGGCCACGCGCAGTGTCTGCTCCAGAAACTTGTCGTCGGCCGCCCCGTCCTCCTGGGTTTGTCCGTCCCCAAGGTCCGCTCGCCGGTTCAGAAGGAAGAGAAGGACGCGGAGGGCCTCTCGACGGACCTCGACTATGCGGTGACGCAGCCAGGTTGCGAGAACCTTCTCCAGCATGCAAGGCGTTCTAGATTCGAGGCTCTCACACGACAAGGAGAGGGGAAGGCTCCAGCGCGTGGTCCAGGCGATGAGGCTAGCGAACCCTGGCAGCGGTTTGTCGAGCGAGGCACCTGCCTCGATCAAGTCCAGTAAATCTTTCACGGATGCCTGAATGACCCCGCGCAAAGACTTCACGGACCGCGCTCCCTCTCTCGGCCCAGACCGTCGATGTTGAGGAGTCGTGGAAATAACCCCATCGCCTGCCGCATGTAACGGGTGTCTATGCGTGTGCCGAAATACTTGTGCGGCTGACCGTTCCGATGCTGCAATGGGTGCTTGCGCCGGTTCCAAACTCTCCAAGAGATGGTTAATGTACAGAAACATTTGCAAAGCTTCCTCACGGACGGGCGGACAGGTCATTCCTGGGCCCGTCAACCAACGTCTCTCTTCGACGAGGCTTAGACCTGAATCCGAGCAAAGCGGAAGGAAGTGGGGCAGACTGCCTAGGACCTCGCCTCCATCGTCATGACGCAGGCGACACACAGCCTGAGGAACGCTTCGCAAGAGTGAATTGATCATGAGCAGGATGCCGTGAAGGGTATTGTAATATTCATGGCTGGCTCCTCTAAAAGCTGGGTCGAGCGCGGGATGCGCAGCACCGCATGAGGGAGGGAGCGCAGAGAGGAGAGCAAGCACCACCGCGGCCGCGCGAACGGGGCCCACCAAAGAAGCGAAGGCACGCGCCGCCGTCAGACGCATGAGTCCATCGGGCAAGCATGCGCATCGGACGACGGAGGGGAGGCATTGCTTCAACGACTCGTCCAAAGCTCCACTAGTTTCGTTTTCTGCAACGTGTTCGGAAGGGGGCCGCAGACGAGACAGGAGCAAGATAAGGGGAAAGAGGCAAGGCGACGTCTGAGCGCCATCTCTCCTCATCTGGGGGGGCAACAGGGCCGCGACGTGGATGGCGGTCAGGTTCGACAAGGCGGCCGCGAGCATAGGGTTTCCTTCCCTGTCTGCGCCCCGTCCAATGCTCCTGTTGAGTTCCCCCGCCACTATGAACAAAAAGTCTGGGTGCCGCCTCAAGAAGTCGTGGGCACTCGACGGCCCCGAGGGTCTCGTCGCTGGCCCTTCCCTTCGGCCGCCAGCCCCTTCCCCGCAACCCGCCGCCCCCAAACTATTCTTGCCGCTACCCACGACGGAGTTGATCAGCGCGCCGAAGACCATCAATGCAGAGTTTCGAATCGCCCAGCGCGCATCGCGAAAAGCGACAAGAACCACCTCCATTGCCGGGGCCATGAAGGCTTGCGCCACGTCGCGAGAAGGGCCCCCGTCCAGAAGGAGCAGCCGGAGCACGTTCAGGGCGTGAATGCGCGTGCGCCAGTCGTCAGACGGCAGCCCGTGACCCGACATGGTGCCGAGGCATGCGCTCTTCTGAAGGGGTGCTGCAAGGCGAAGGAGTTCTCCCATCAGCGCGGGCAGAAGGATAGGGGGGCGATTAGTCGGTTCCGCGCCCACTACGCCCAGGAAGCCGGAGGCCAGCCCTGCAGAGCGGCGCAGGACGAAATGCACCCGGGGATGGCGCAGCCTGTCCAGAAGGGATTGCATCCACTGATCGGGCAGGCGGGATAGCTCCGGGTCGGAGGAGAGCAACAAGGCCCGGGAGACGGTCAACAGCGCCGACTGCGTCACCTGGATGGCTCCCATGTGCTTCAGTCGCCCTAGCGCCTGCAGCAGGCTGCGGCCTATCGCGTCCATCTTGGCGCTGCCACCCAGGGCCGCCAAGAGGGCCGGCGCCTGTGACTCAACCTCCCTCCTCTCCTGGACCCCCCCCCCGGATGGTCCGTGCGCGGGCTGCCCCCTCGTCATCCTCCCGCCTCCGCTCCAGACCGACGAGCACGAGAAGGTCGCTTGCTGCACCACCTCCGCCAGACAGGCCCCCGCCTCCTTCACCATCATCCACCCGCCCACGATCAATCGCTGTCGAGCGTCGTCCTCCTCCTCCTCCCCATCGGCCTCGCCCTCAGCCGTCCTTCCCAGAAGCCCTTCCACCTCCCTGCCTTTCCCTGCCGCCCCGCCCCTCCGAATCAGGTGCCCTCGACAATCGACGACCAAACCAGGCCCCGCCGTGTGCAAGGCCGCCTCCTCTGTGTAGTCATGGGCCTTCTCGGCATCCCTCGCGTCACCTTGGTCAAAGAGCAGAGACTCCGGGAGACCCTCCTGCGCCGTGCCCACAACCCCCAACGCCACCTCCAGCACTCTCTCCAAGACAGCAACCAGAGCGACAACGGCCCCGTTCCATTCTTCCCTCCATCCCTCCTCCCCATTGGCTCGCTCGCGGCGACCGGCCTCCTCCAAGACATACTTGGCCGCCTGCACCGCGCCCTGAACCATCACTACCCTCTCTCCCGCCCTCTCACCCGCCGTGGCCGCCTCCCGCCTCTCATTCTCCCTTAGACCCCACGCCGCCAGCCCTTCTTGGAAGGCTTCCACTCGCTTTTCGATCAGTCGTGTCACCTGCCGCAGGAATAAAGTCTCGGCGCTCCCCGGGTAGGTCCCGTCGTCCTGGCGCGGAATCCCTCCAGGGCCGAGAGCACGAGAGTCCTCCAGCACGGCCAGTCCCTGCCATCCCAGCCCCACCACGTACACTTTGAAGACAAGCCGCAGCATGAGCGCCCCCGCCTCGCTTTCGTTCCGCCGAGCCGACCGCGTCAGCTCCAAGGACCAGGCGATGGCCGGAGCCAAGCATGCAGGCGAGGACCCGAGGCCGCTCAAGGGGGCCGGAAAGGAGGCGAGCAGGTCAAAGGCTGTCCGCCGGGTGCGTTCCCAGGGCGCCAAGAGCAGGTTTAGGACCGTCAGCACGGTGGTGGGAGAGGCGTGGATGGGAGCCAAGGCGCGGGAGTACAGAGCCGCGGTCCGCTCGTCTGAGGGCGGGGGGGGCTGGAGGATGGCGAGGAAGAGCGCCAGCACGTCCAGGGTGGGAGCACTCCTCGAGACGTTCGTTCCGGGATAGAAACCCTCGCACAGGAGTCGAGCTACGCGAGCGATGCAGCCCACTACACGCTGGGAGTGCGCCGAGACATCCTCCTCCGCAGGCGCCCTTAGAGCCTGGTGGCGAAGTCGCGCCGAGAGGACTCGCAGGGCTTCCTGGTAACGGAGGAAGAGCGGACGGAGGGCGCGCTCCAAGCCGTGGCGCTGGCCCGAGAGAGGGGCCTTAAGGGCGACCGGCAGCGCGGTTTCGATCAAGTGTTGCTCCAGCGCCGAGGGCAGCGTGGTGGTCTTGGCCGAGGCCACCAACATACGGAGGGCCGCCATGCGCAGGTCCGCGTCACCCGAAAGGCAGGCGGCTCGAGCCTCCTCCAGGCTCAGCATGGGGAAGGGCGCTCCCACCTCCAC